CTGTGCAGACAGAAAACGCTGGTGACCACTTCAGGTGCCATTTCTGACATTAATACTTAAGTGAAATACTGCCTGCCGTGAGGATGTTTCCACTTCTCACAGCCGCTTTTGCGTGGTATGAAATAAACAAAACAGCAGATGGAGCTGAAGGGGAAAACAACGGAGATCATTTACATGCTGGCTGTCCTCGGTATCTCTTGGCTGTCAGCGAGGTTCAGTTTCTGGCTGAGAAAAGTGGAGTCAAGGTAGATGACAGGCACAGATTTTTCATTTTAAGTGATTTTATGCTTAATGGCTAACTTTTAGCCCTTTTGGCTCTATTATGGCATATTGTCACCTATTCTGGGCTATTATTATAATTATCTGTTGTTTTGGTTACATTTACATGTTTTATATTAATGTGTTTTCATGTTTTAAGCTTCTCAAAGATTAACTTTAATTTATTTCTAGTAAATTATGGTGAAATATTTATTGTGTTTTGAGCAAATTTAGCATAAAGGCCAACTTTTGGAGAAAACTTTTATATTTGTCCTAATTTGTAGACTTATTAAATATGACAAAATAGACCTTGAATCCTGGCTGTATTTGATGTAATACACAGTCAGAGGGAACAATAAACAGTTCTGAATGCCATGTGGGGTCTGTGTGCTGGAATTTGAACTTGTTTTAGATTCAATGGTTACCTGAGAACATGTGAAAGGTAAAATGTCAGAAGGATACATAGAAGAACTCAGCTCCTCAAGCTATAAAGAAAAAGAGAATTTAGGGGTTACTTTACAGCATGCTTACCATGAAAAAAATCAACTGTGTTTTTAAGTTACAACATGCAGAAATGTTTGTATTTATTTCATGTTATTTCCCTTTTTCACTTAGGTGGTTTCAATCAAAATGTGTAAAGGTAAAGAGGAGGGTGAGAGGGTATATCAGGTTTGCTGTGAAACTTCTTTTTGACTCACAAAATAATTTGAAGATTGTGTTTGATTTACACTTTTTTAGTGAAGGTTTTGCCTAATATGATTTACTTGTCATAAATGTAAGAAAGGAGTTTTTACACTCTGGACCTATTCTTATATTCGTATTCTTGCTAAACCCACAACATGCCAAAACAGATTAACAGAACAAATCTCATGCACTTATCCTGTGATGTAACGCTTGCGCAATGAACAGTTTCAGTAAGAATCCTGCAGCATCACTTTTGTTTGACACATTTAATACAAATTTCTAATAAAACACTAGTTATTGACATCTTTAGTCCAAAGAAGGTCTTACGTTCAGAAGTAACTTCTCCATGTTGGTGTCACAGGCGATTTCATTCACATCACCGTAGAGGTCAAAGTGCAGTTGGGCCAGTTTCTCCTGCATCTCCCTCACATGCTCCATCTGGCCAATGGAGCACTCATTACCTGGACCAGATAAAACAGGCAGAGCTGCTGGGGTGGTTTTACATTACGGCTCAGCAGGTTCCAATAGCAGACACACTTAGACCATTTTAAGACCACATTGGTAAGATAATTAGTGTTGTTTTTCATAATTACCAAATGCTTGCAGTTTCCCTGAGTGGAAGTCATTGAGGAGGCTGAGCAGACCCTTCTCCATCTCCTGTACATCTGAGACGTCAGTCAGAAAGGAGTGCTGAATGACGGGCGCTGCCTGGCCCTGGTTCTGGTTCTGGTTCTGACTGGTTTTACCTCCCGAACCAGCCTGGTACCTGGGTTTGTCCCTGCCTCCCCTGAGAAATACAGTGTCAGCCTAATATTATTGATTATTTTTCAGGTACTTGTTTTAATCTAAACAAACATGTGCAGCATAGCAAGGTGTCACAACAGTATTGCTGCTCTACTTACTTCCTACTTTTGCTTTTTTGGCTGGACTGTGTCCCCATGTTGGAGTTGTAACCGACCTGCCGCCCGCCGGTCGTGCCGCTGTTCTTCCGCCCAGAACCTCCAGTCGGAGGCACTGTGCTGGTGGAGTTTCTGGGACTCTTTCTCTTTAGCTTTCGCTCCTCCATGACTTCATGTTACGACAGTGCTAGGTGATGAAATTGGCACAAAAACACCAGAAAACTAACAACAGTGTTCCTCTGTAGCCCAGTACGTGAGCGAAACTAGCTGACTAGGTGACGTGAAAAATGACGTCAGACGCGTCGATCTACAAACTGTGTGGAGTATTGGAACAAAATGGCGGACCTTCTGAGCTGTAGAAAATGTTCCTCTCGAAATGCTTCACTTCCGCCTTTTCTTCTTCGCGGTTTTACTTACAATTGACAAGTACAAAAGTGTATTATTGTCTCCTACAGGATCGTGGGAGTAAGTACAGCAAAATGCTCAATGAAATTAAAAAAAGTGGCCTTTATATTCGTTTTATATTGGGATTAATATAACTCAATAATTTAACCGATGATTTTATGCATCCATGCTCGTCTTAATGTATCATTTGTTATATTAATGGATCAATCCCTTTTTGAAATATGCATTCATGTTTCTTGGTAAAGGGGCAGCCATGTTAGATGTATTTTGTTGTAACCTAGGCTCAAATCAGACTATAAAGAAGTGTTCCCAATTTTAATGATAGAGCAGGTAAAAACTTGTAATTGAATATATCAATTTCTCTTAGTAAATTTATTTTTAATAGCAACAATAACATCAATAACAACAATAACATAAAAGTTACACCAGATGTCAGCAACAACCTAGGTAATTGACATTTACAGAGATATAAAAAAATAAAAGTCTAAAACGTATGTGTGAATAATATCAAATGAAAAAATATTCAAAATGTGATGGGAGACCAAGACAGCAGCAGAGATCTATGGATAAGTAGAAGGCCATTTCTGCTCCATGTCATTTTTTAAATAACAACACCTGATTCCAGCCCACTGGATGGCCTAAGGGTTCTGATTATCAAGGTACCAAGGTACCACACAAGAAACATTGTACAGTGGGTAAAGGAAGGAGTTCAGTCAAAATCCCTGCAATTATTGTTGCAAAACATATGATTGGATACTAAAATTATTTCTATAAACTTCCGGAAGTGCAGTAAGCATTGTTGGAGTGATAATCTGGAACATCAGGAACATCATCTTACCATGAACTGACTCTGACAGGGTGTTAAAAATGCTACTGAAATATTATTATCCATCCATCCATTTTCATCTGCTTATCGGGTCGCGGGGGCAGCAGTCACCACCCAAATCACACTGCACCGTACGAACGCCCCCGTCCACACCAATGACAGAGACATTACCTCTGGGCCAAAGAGCCACATTATTATTATTATTATTATTGTTGTTGTTGTTGTTGTTGTTGTTGTTATTATTAATAATAATAATAATAATGTTATTATTATTACTGAAGTATAGTAGTTTACTGATTATATGCTCATACATACTAATATGACACTGAGCGTCAGATACAATTGATGCTGTGGCTAAACAACTCACACACAAAAAAATGTAAAATATTTTTACTTGAACACTTAATAGACTGCATGTTTATTCCGACTATTACCTTATCACAAGTAACTAAACCTTTTAAAATAACAATGACTCCACAATGGTGTTCAGAAGATTCTAGAATATAAAATTGATTTTAATAATGTTCATCACTGATCTGTAGTTTCAACACTGGTGTCTTCCTCCTTGTGGGAATGTCCCTCTACAGGCTATGCAAAACACATGCAGGTGATGTCATCCACTGCCTCAGTCAGTTTCCAACAGCACGGATCACTCCTGCTTCACACTGAGGTTCAACACACACAAACACAGACACACTGTGCGGGACTATTTGAGAACTACTGGAGGACTCCAAACCAGAGAGAAATCATTTCATTGCTTTTATTCTTCTCCTTTTCTCAAGACCCAAAGGATTACACCGTGAAACTGATTGATTTTTTTCTCTAGTCTTCAAGAGGTAAGTTTGAAATTACCCAGACATGTGGTACTTTATAAATGTCCAATCACTACAATTCTAAACTGATATCAGATTTCTAGTGGTTGGAGATGTATGTTTCTTCAAGCTACAGTCCATTTTGGTGATTTTTAAAAGACACAAAACCATCGCTTTATTATAATTTACTGTAAAAATAAAAGGACATTGTGCATGAAGCAAGATAATATGTTTTTTGTATGATTTACAAAACACATCCTCAACAAGAAAATTAAAATTAAAATATCACCCTCCAAAATAACCCTGTAACAGGGGAAGATCTAAGCATGTACTGAATATATAGACAATATTATCTAAACAAAACAAAACAATACTACCAACTTGTCAGAGTTTGCATTTACATGTAGCTGAGTCTTCTCTATATGAAGTATTGCAGTCAATGTAAAATTAAACACAAAAAATAATAAAAATTGGCAATACGAAGGAAACATTCAGTCATCTTTAAAATAGAATAAAAGAATACATAATACGTCTTCTTCAATCCAATCCAAAGTTTGGCAGATTGGCCTTTGCCAATGTTGAAATGTTACTCAGCATATTTGTATTAAACCTGAAGCCCACCATCCAAAGACTGTTGGTCATGAAGTACACTTGCCATGGATCAGTGAGTGAAGTTTAATGTTCTGACGCACACATGAGGGAGTTAACGTCACACAGTTGTTGTCTAATGTGTTTGTGGGTCATATATATATATCAGATATAATGTGTGTTTTTGGGTGTGTGCGAGAAAATATTAATCTCACAATCTGACAAAGATTCCCAGGATTAACGGCCGGTGGTAATGGAAATAAATTGTGTTTGTTTTTCTGTGGAACACATTTCAGTTAGAAAGAATCCTTCGGAAGAAGGATTATTGGGGTAAGACTGATACACATTTTATGTACAAATAATATTCTTCAATAGTTTTTTTTCACCCAAATCACTCTGATGTGACAACATGGTGTCGGTCGTCAGGCAGTCGTCAAAACATCATGGAAAATTGGCAGATAATAGATAATAAAGCAGTGGGACGATAAAATGTCAGAAAATTCAAACTAATAGAAACTCAAAGTGGCTTTCTCTGGGAAAAAGATTCTGCAAGCATCTAAGACAAGGTCTGGGCCCTTATGGTAGGTCCTCCATCAACAGACATGTTTTTAAGTGGAAGAGAAAAAGACAAAATGGCAGAACCTACAGAGGCTAATGATCAGTGAGCAATGATCCTATTCTTCAATATACTTCATGTTTATATTTGTTTAGTGTAGGATTCATCTTTAACTGGTGTATATGGTAATACTGTATAATATAATATAATATATAATATTGACAGGTCCATTCTTAATATTTTTTTTATTTAATTTCCTCACTTGGTATTGACATCTTCTGCCTTCTACACTCAAATCTGCTCAACATGCATAATAAGCACAGAGGAAGGAAGCCTCGCAGAAGAGAGGAAGCCAAAGGCCACATGTTTAACCTCCATGCAGAAAAAAAGAGCAGACCTGCAGCCTCAATTTAAAAACATTCATTTTAACTGAAGAGGAAGAAGTGAAAAACACTGATAAAAAAAAAGAATCATAAGAAGAAGAAAAAGCGGTGACTAAGAAACAGTTTTCAGTGTGCGTGGGTGTGTTAGTGAACAGCACGTGAACTTGTTGAGGCCAGTCAAGTCCAGATCCTGACACCACAGCCAGTGCTGGATCATGTTAGCAGCTGCTGCATGTCAGGAAGCATCAAGTTTATTGTTCCCTGGGGGTAAAACTATTCCGAACAGTGCTGACATGTTTACCAGTTCTTTAATAAAAGTAGTGAAAATATCACGGGATGAGAAGTAAAAATAAAATCTGGGCCAGTGGATGAAATGTGCACTGCATGTTTTAGAAATTAGTAATAAAGTGTGATACTTCATGACTGTTTTTGTTCTTTCATGCACTAAGAAGCATGAGGATCAGAGCCCAGATGGACCTGACCCGTACCACGGTTCTGTTGGTGTTGTTCTCCGTCATTAAGGTAAATGTTAAATCTTATCTTTAAAATTTTAGCCTTGCATTTGTTTTAGTCTAACACACAGTGTATGTGCTGAATTGTAACAATCAGTAACAAAACTGATTAAAACAAATGCAGATGTTTATAAACATACGTAGCCTTAAATATCGTGTGTTTGGCTCAACATACAAAATGTTTATGTTTGCCTGAGATGTGGCCCACGTTCTGGATGCAAGTGCTAACTGTGAGCCACAAAAACTCATAAAGACCTCATAAATAAAAAATATGAACACAACGTCCACCAACGTACACACACTGCTTACATAGCTTAAATTGATTTGGCCAAAAAATTGATGAAACAACCTAGTTCATTGAGTCCATATTCAGTCCTAGATTGTGGACTACATTTAGTGTGTGGACCCATTCTGTTTATTGTTGGATTACATCTCAGCCACAATCCAGCACAATGTACATGTTTCCATTTGTGTTTAACCTGTCTGTTAAACATGGGTCACATATTGCTGTTTGCTGACATGTGTCAAATATTTTTCCCTTAAATCATAGGTTCTAAATTATTTTCTGTCATGCTTCTCCTTGGGGACAGAAATGTTTTCACGCAACTTTCTTGTCTCTGTGTGGTTCCATTACAGCCAGTGGTGGTCTCAAGTCCTAAAGACCTCCACGTGAACCATGGAGAACATCCATTCAAAGGAAATTCAATTACCACAGCCCAGTTCGAGTGTTTCCAGCAGATGACTAGAGAATCACTAAATTCATCAAAAACAATGGGTCAGGACTGCAGCTCAAATACAGTCATGTTCATAGGAACTGTGAGTCATAGTCTAATATTACTGTGCATATTCTTTGCCTTCTGCAGGACCCGTGTGCAACGTAACATGGGATGGGTGGCTGTGTTGGGATGAAAGTGAAACAGGTCGTACAGCGGAGCAGAACTGTCCAGACTATTATGAAGACTTTGACCCCAATGGTATATTTTTCTTCAACTCATTTGCTCTTGATAAATATATGAAAATCTATCAAACTAAAATGTGCTACTTTGCTAGTTCATTTAATCCTGTTCACAAAATCTAGGTGAACAAATTGTCAAAAAAAAACAAAAAAAAAACAAACAGTTACATCCAACGCTGAGCATAAATCCTCAATTTACTTGGCCGACCAACATCTTCAGCTAGGCCATAATCTGCCACTGCTTTAAAGCAAAAATGACAAAATAATATTACCTTTGTAAAATGTATGAGCAGTTTTTCTTTTCTTTAAACTGTTCTAATGTAAAGTCTTTCAACAGA